GTATTTATAGACTATGCTCTATCATTGTTATAAACTATGATCTCATAAAGTTGTGTACACTTCTATTTGGCAAATCTTTCCCAAAGCCTGCGAAGTCTTCAGTTCTCTGTCATTTTTTGACTTTTTCTGTGGGCAGGCAAATAAAAAGCATAACATGCGGGTAGATGCGAAACTCTATGAATGGGAAAACTTTAATGTTATTGTAAGATTTGTAGAATCCTTCAGTGGCGCGAAGAAATCCAGCATCCAAGGCGAAAACACTTTTCCGTGACACACCGCTAAATATACGGTTGATGATGGTCTGCCCGCCTCAGGCTCTATATTTGGAAGCTCAAATGAGAAGGCCTACCAGATCCACCGTACAGCAGTGATCAGCCTCCTTCCAAAAGTCATCTTTTCTTCTTGCTAAAGAATCATCTTACAGACAAAAATACGATTCAAAGCAGCTCGAAATCGACCTCACTGTCTTTTCAGCTTGAAACTGCCGACCTTCTGATAGCACAGCATCGACTCTCCGGTGTATCGCTTGGCAAAAGTCATTGATAGTGTGGTCATATATTGATGATGGATATTGCTTTGTGTTGAGATCATGTTGACTCCAAAAAATGCTTGAAAGTGGTACGAACTTCTGGGACAACCTAACATATTCGTTAAAACCGATCTTCCACCAGCTGTAGAATCTCTATTTGGCGATTCCATATCTTTTCGTATGCAATAGTTTCGATATCATTATGTACTCAACAACTTTATCCTCTCTCTATCCCCACATAACAAGAAACGAAACAAGAAGAAAAGCAACAATTACAATCTGAATCACAGGGGCTGCTTAGACGTCCATCTAAACTTCAAGACAAGCGGTGGTCAATCCAAAATTGTCCAAATATTAATAAAGGTTTTGGGAGTTAGGAGATCAGCTGAAGTTGTTTGTAAACCTGTTTACGATACTCTTCAAGACCTCCCTCAAGGTTGACTACCATTCGATCTTTCACAACCCACAACTCTTTGCAAACCATTTCAATAAGTTGCTCGTCGTGAGATACTAAGACCACGCCTCCCTAAAAAAAACTCCATACTTATCTGGTAACACAAGAAAAAAAAAGAATGTATATCTTTTCACTTACATTGAAAACGTTCAGAGCCGACCCAAGCGCCGCAACCGTCTCAACATCCAAATGATTGGTAGGTTCGTCCAAAATGAGGTAGTTCGGACTAGAAACTTGCATGGTCAGCATAATGAACAGATTTGCAAAATGTCAATTCTTACTTCAACATTGCGATGTTAGCAAATGCTAAACGTGACTTTTGTCCTCCTGACAACGTGTAAACCGATTGCAGGGCCATATCGCCAGTCAATCCAAAGTGGCTCAAAGCTGTGCGATATTCCTCCTGGGTTTTGCCTGAAGTAAGAGAATACACTCACCGTAATTATTGTAGGCATAGGCACAATAAACCCATATAGGGCCGATAAAAACAAATCGGTTACTATCTACATACGGCACAATTTATACAGCATGCCACCGCGAAATGTGCGGGGACCGCAAAATGTTTATCTGTATTACATACTCATCGATTTGTTTGGTCGTTTGGCTACTCGTCGCGGCGATGCCGAATGTGCGAAATACATGGAAAACGCGCTATTCCCCTTGTTGGAGTAGGTCCTCTTAATCGAACGTATTCCGCGCATTCCTAGTGACGCGAGGTATGTATGCTGCCTGAAAGGGACGGGACATGCTCGCCCGCGAAGCAGGTAGCAAACTTGCCACCAGTCGCTAGCGAGCCGCGCGATTGGTCGCAAAGCCTGACACCTGCCTGAGTGTGGTGAAAGGGAGCATTTCACATGACAGCATGGAACCCGTAATAAAAACGACAGAAATCTCAGTTGTTTTTTGCAAAAAAAAACTAAGTGAATCAAAAAAAAATGCAGTAACAATGATGCAACAGATAGACGACTACACACTCAAACTTCACCTGGATAATTATGAGCTAAAACTTCAATGGCAGTCATATCCATATCGAGTTGATCGACGTGATGTTGGGTGAAATAACCAATCCTAATCCGTCTATTTACATTTCGCATACCATGCTGCAAAATGAACACGTGAAAATTCATGTAAATTTATGATCAAGGATAGCCCATCTAAACATTCAGGTAAATAATGTTCATTTTGAAAACGAATGGTGTATTATAATCAACTAAGCGTGCAATCCAACACTGGTTGCACTTCTATAACTCCTTTCAACTAACGCTTTCTAAATGGAAATAACTAAAATCTTCCCAATCAAGCTAAAATAAACAAAGTTTAACAGCTCACCGTTGGGTTAAGATCACCAAGAAGCAGTTTCAAGAGCGTTGTTTTTCCTGACCCATTTTCACCCACCTAAACAGTATGCTAGTTAAACATTTACCAATAACTAGCCGTGATGAAACAAAACATTTGAGCTGTGTGAACACGTTTGACTATCAAAAACTCACGATACAGATACGCGAATTAGCATGAGTACCAAGATTCAGTTTTTTGAACAAGAATGCTGTA